AGGAGAGGGGCGTTTCAATCTCGAAAAAACACATTGGCTTTAATGGCAGATCGCAGGTCAGCATTTCTCCAAGTCTATCACAAGCTCAAATCGGAGCTCCTTGAGGATCCTTCTTTCGAATTCACTGATGTTTCTCGTCAGTGGGTTGATCGGGTATTTCATTTTCACCTTCCCTCGCTTTTCATTTCTTCCGTTTATTAACCGATACTATGTTTTCATCTTCTGCTTCTGACCTCAGTTTGATGCTTTACGTCCACCCATTTTATTGTAGAGATATTCATTTCAATTCACGTTTCATTCTCACCCAATTCTTCGTTTTGGTTGGAATATTCTTATTATAGACTTATAGGGTTATACCAACTCTATTCTGTGTTTTGCGCTTGAGTTTTCTTCACGGATTCTCTCTGCTACTTTGCCACTACTTTCTTCATCATATCATTATTGTGCTCCATAGTTTTTTTTTTTGGTTTGACCATCTGCTTTTCCTTACCCACTGCAGATGCTCGACTACAATGTGCCTGGAGGTAATTTAACATATATTCCTCTGCCTTTATTAATCTGATTTATGTATGTTGTGTGTTTTCAGCTTCTCTTGGCTTGGCTCTTCCTGGACTGACTGCAACTTATTTGTTCTCAGGGAAGCTGAATCGGGGACTCTCTGTAATTGATAGCTACCGTCTATTGAAAGAAGGAAAAGAATTGACTGAAGTTGAGATTTTTCTTGCAAGTGCTCTCGGTTGGTGTATTGAATGGGTATCGCTCTCTATCACTCTGCCATGCTGCTTCCCATTATTTTTCTTATTAAGATACTGCTAGTTATTATGCTGTTATGTGGGATGACAAATTGTGATTTCTCGCTAAATACAGCTTCAGGCATATTTTCTTGTCCTTGATGACATAATGGATAACTCTCACACCCGGCGGGGCCATCCTTGTTGGTTTAGAGTGCCCCAGGTTTGTACTTTATACCAAGTCTGACCCCACGTTATATATCCATTTTTTTCTCGTATTTTTCCCTCTATGAAAACAATTAACTTGTATAAATTGCCTCGTAGGTTGGTCTGATTGCTGTGAATGATGGTATTCTACTTCGCAATCACATCTACAGGATTCTCAAAAATCACTTTCGTGAGAAACCTTACTATGTAGATCTGCTAGATTTATTTAATGAGGTAATTAATTTGGATATTTCTAAATTATCTTCATTCAAAAAATATCCTAAATATTTTGAGACATTTGCTTTACGCAGGTGGAGTTTCAAACAGCTTCAGGACAGATGATAGATCTGATTACAACACTTGAAGGAGAAAAAGATCTATCCAAATACTCCTTGTCACAGTGAGTGAAGCTTTAGCAATTATTTATTTCAAGAAAAAACGATTGTTGAACTATTTATGCATAATGCAAGTGGCAACTGACCTGTTGTCATATTGTAGTCAAACAGTGACAAATTATTCCACCATAAAATATTGCCTGTGTTGCTTGGCATCAAATTCTGCAGTCATAATGAGAATAAATCAGCATCGATTCCACAAGTCACCTCATTTTATTTTCTTTTGTTTCAACTCTTTCAAATAGTAATTCTTATGTATCTTACTATCTATGTATTGGTTAAAATTCTCCGCAGGCACCGCCGCATTGTTCAGTACAAGACTGCCTATTACTCATTCTATCTTCCTGTGAGTATCAACTTCCATTTCACTTGAAGCATGCGCACTGAATTATCAGCAATGCTTTTTTCTGCTGTGTTTTGTTAAAGGACATTACCACCGTTCAAAATTCAGTGATTTTGATGATATTGCTGTTGGGCTAGCCACACACAACTCGTGCCAAAATTTGATGAAGCACACGATCTCCTAATTCCCTGCATCTACTCTTGAATATTCTTAATTTGTAGTTTTGTTTATCAGAAGGTTGTTAGTTGGATTCACTAGTTGCTGCTTTATTGGCTATATCTCCTCTTGAAGAGGCCATTTTGCTACTTATGTTTTGCATATCTATTTAGGTTGCATCTACTGCTCATATTCTTACATGGAGGTTTTCTCTAAATTCGTTTAATTATTGACATCAGGGTTTGTTAGTTGTATGGGCTATTTGCTACTTATATTACCTAAATGAACCCAGGTTGCATGTGCACTGGTTATGTCGGGCGAGAATCTTGACAACCACATTGATGTAAAGAACATTCTCGTTGATATGGGAATCTACTTTCAAGTACAGGTAATATTTGGCAGAGCACATCTTACTTTAACTTCTGCAATTTTATGACGACTAGGATAGGTGACAACCAGAAGTTCAATACTAGTGTAAATTTAAATGTTTCTATTGTTTAAATCTATCAAAACTCACTTACTTAAAGCATTATTCTATTTAGTCACTATAATTTGTGATTTGATTTCAGCTGAATTCTTAAAGTCTTAAAAATTGCCTCAGCAAGGTTTATCACTCCCAAAATGAGCAATATTTTTTTTTTGGGTCGGATGGAATTTGTTTCTTAGATGCCCTTCTTTTCTTGTCAGATCCTTTATGTTAATTATTTGAGTTTTATTTTCTGCAGGATGATTATTTGGATTGCTTCGGTGATCCTGAGACAATTGGTAAGGTGAGCTCGGGATGATGGAACTCGAAGTCTGTCTTTGAAAATTAAAATGTAAAATGGACTCGTCTATCTGTGTTATTGGATTTCTTACACAAGCTCTTTGTAATCTCAGATTGGAACTGATATTGAAGATTTTAAGTGCTCTTGGTTGGTGGTCAAAGCATTGGAAATCTGCAATGAAGAGCAGAAGAAAGTGTTACATGTAAGATTGGCACTGGTTTTATAAGTTGTCTGATTTTCTGTAAATCTCGGTGTGGTTACTCATTGATGTTATCTTTTACTTCCAGGAGAACTATGGGAAACCAGACCCCGTCAATGTTGCTAATGTAAAAGCTCTGTACAATGAGCTTAATCTCAAGGTTCTACATTGATATTTCAGGATTTCTTCTTTAAATAAAAACAGAATGCAGGACGTGTTTCAGGGTTGATTGTTGTAAATCTTTGATCTTACTGTTTATCTTTGATCTTTACTGTTTATCTTTGATCTGATTTGACAGGGTGTATTTGAGGAGTATGAAAGCAAGAGCTATGAGAAGCTGATAACTGCAATCGATGCTCATCCTAGCAAAGCAGTGCAAGCAGTGTTGAAGTCCTTCTTGGCGAAGATTTACAAGAGGGAAAAATAGAGTGTCAAAGACACAGACAAAGATGAGGGTGGGATGATGTCAAACATTCCCACTCTTCTATGCTCATTTGTATTCAAGTTTTATAATTGGCAGATATATCAATCTTCTTCTTGTACTCTATTCTGACAAACATATGGTGCTTCAGGATTTTGGTTATTTGGATTTAATAAATGGAGTTCATTCTTAGCCAAATTAAAAAAGTTTGTCATTATATCGAGTATGGACTCTGCCCTGACAATCCTACGTTTTCAGGACGGCTGCCTTTGTAGTACTTGATTTATTTATATATAGAGATTGTGATAATGTCAAAAGAATATCAAAGAGGTTGGCAGTGCTTGATGGGGAACTAGGTGTGTAGTTATCCCTGATCAGAGATTTGAAATCTGTCAATCTACTTCTGGAATAGGCCAAGAATGGGGGATGGAAGTTCAATGCGTGGTGTGGGTTGAAGCCTCATTGTGTAATGTAATTTGCTTTCAGCATTTGCCATTGCAATGCCATGGAATGGAATATATGAAACATGAATGCAGAGAAAAACAGGTGCGTGAAACAGAAAGAAGGATCATGGAACAGGATGGCAAGTATATATCCTGGTCCTGGTGTCATAAGGAAAGTGTTTCTATCTCACATCAGACAGGAATGGGAGGTCTTGAGCTCTTTATAAGCGGGTGTGCTGCACACCCCTATAAGTCGGTTTATGAGAGAGAGAGTAATGACCCCGTGACACTGGGAGCTTGGACGTCATAGTCACTGAGTAGCTTAATACTGTGTGGCCAGCGTAACAGATTCAGTTGGCTCGGAAGGAAAGCAATGTATTCAAATGATTCCCGTTCCAGACAAAGAGAGTGCTGAGATCATCACAACCCCATAACGGAAAAAGGTGTAGGTGGGCTCCTAAATAACAAAGAGGCTGTGTCACGGGGCGATTCTTAAGACCACCTTCGTGCGGCCTTGGATTCAGCCCTTAGCTCGGCAGTAGAACCCAAGTCAGCCTTACTCACCCGACAAGCGCTCAACACCCGCACAATGGCTTTAAGCCGGCAAGCAAGCTTGCATAAACAAGGAAGGAAAAATGGAAAGAATGCTAGAGAAAAACTAAACTCTTTATATTGAATGAATTGAAATACAAAGGATGCAAGAATGGATGCAAAAATGGATGATTTACACAATGGTGGATGGGGCTATTTATAGCCAAGGTTCCCCACCCACTTTTCCCTCCAAAGTTTTTAATTCAAAGTATTCCCCCCAAAAGATTTCCCTCCAAAGTTTTCAATTCAAAGTATTCCCCCCAAAAGATTTCCCTCCAAAGTTTTCAATTCAAAGTATTCCCCCCAAAAGATTTCCCTCTAAAGTTTTGAAAGGTTCTAGAAAATCGGTTGGGAGGGAAAATTTGAATTTTCCAGCAGCCCCCCTCCGTGGGCCGCACCCCTTCTGGGCCCCCCTGGTGTGACTGGACTGGCTGTGGGCACCCCTCTTGGGCCTCCTGGTGGGTCTGGACTGTGGCCCGTGACAGCTGCCTCTTTTGGCCTTGGGTCAGGGGAATGACGAACTTTATGCCCATCGAGCAAGGGAAAAGGAAAAGAAAATCTTGAATTACTTGACTGATGATGATTGTAGGAAATTTCGTTATCAAAACCCTGTATTTTACCAATAGTATACTATCAGGAGAATTACTATTGCTTGGTGGATGAGGCAGACGCCTAACGAAGGAGGCGTAGATTTATTTAGAATTATAAATGTGAAAGTGAACGTGGACAAAGGAAAACGCGCATTTGAAACTTGAAAAGCCAAAAAAGTTGTACAAGTTGAAAAGTCTCCTTTTCTGGTTCCTTGAAACAAAAAGGAAAAGTCTCCTCCCCGCTTTGTCTTTGCGCTCACAGATGATCTCATAGTTTGCAGCATCTTGGAAAATAAAGTTTGCCCAGATTTTATCTTCTTGATTTTTTATTCTTCATGAAAACAAACAAGCATTCATTTTTGTTTCTTGTTGAAAATTTTACTTCTGTGTTTCGTTCCTCTTCGTTTGGGTGCGTTGATTTCTTTGGCAAAATTGAATTGCCTTTTATTGGTATGTACGAATGCCCAATCCAATACGAGTAGCGATTCTAGTGTTTCCTTGGTAAAACAACAAGTTGCCTCTTCTTGTCTGTGTCTTCTTCCCCATGGAATGGAAATGGAGTTTCTCTACTGCTATTGCCGCTGAATGCTGATGATGCTACTGGGAAGGGCACTGCCTTAATTCTTCATTAATGATATTAGTACGTTGAGTTTGATTGATTATTACTAATATTATTAGTATTCGTTGTTTGTGCTCGGGAGCTCTCTCTCTCCTTTTCTTCTTTCTCCCAGAAACAGAAGAAACCGAAATAATACTAGAAATAGAATGGCGGCACTATTCTTACAATCCTTTGCTTTTGTTTGTAGCGGTGGCAGCGACACTGTTGATCGCGGGGTGGGTTCATCATAAATATAAAACATTATCAAAGGTCAAGGTTTGAAGATTCTTTACAATTAGGATTGGATTGAGGAGCAGTGACAAATTCGATCATCTTTGATCCCATAAACAAACACACAAATGAAGCTCATTGTGGGTGTGATTGAAGCAAGAAACATACCCCCCATGGATATAAACGGCTTCAGTGATCCGTACGTGAAGCTTCAGCTAGGAAAACAGAGGTCCAGGACCAAAGTGGTGAAGAAGACGTTGAACCCAACTTGGGGTGAGGAATTCAGTTTCAAGGTCGAGGATTTGAATGAGGAGCTTCTCCTCTCTGTCTTGGACGAGGATAAGTACTTCAATGATGACTTTGTGGGCCACCTTAAACTTCCCGTCTCCCGGATTTTTGATGCTCACAACAAGTCTCTTGGCACTGCCTGGTATTCCCTCCAACCGAGGAATAAGAAGTCCAAGAACAAGGATTGTGGTATGTTTTTCCTTTTTATTTGCATCTTTCATCCTTCAGCGACTACAAAATTTAGTTTTCTCAGCCTGTGCTGTCTGTCATGTTGGAATTAACCATTTCCTTGCATCACTTTTCCTCAAGCCATTACCAAACTAAACTGGAATTCTTATGTTTTTATTTCTGGTCTTTTTTTTTTTTTGTTGTAAATGTCTCTTAGTGGAATATTCAACTGGGTTTTCTGTGCTGTCTTACTATGATGCTAAATGAATACTTTTGTTTATGAGGGTCACAATGTTACTTAATGTTACCTTTAGTCCCAATAAATACCTTATCTAATAGTCGGGATCTAGGATTCAAATATCAAAATTGCATCTCTTATATGACATGCTTCAGCTGCTTTGGGCTATAATGACTACAATAATTTATCTATGTACTTTTCTTTCGACCTTTTGCTACAGGTGAAATACTTCTAAATATCTATTTTTCCCAAAATAATTCATTCATGGACTTGACCTCTCATGGTGATCATGCATCATCATCGAAGAAGCATGCAGACATGACTATTGAGGATCTTTCTAGGTCATTTAGTGGTTCATCAAACTCCCCTTCTCCTGTGAGACAAGAAGATAATGTGTCTTCCAAGGAAGATAAATCAGGTGCACAAAAATCCCTAGCAGGTCGCATTGCTCAAATGTTTAATAAAAATTTGGACACTGCTCCAACTACCTCTGCTAAGAGCACTGATTTGATGGAGATACCTGAAATCTCAAGAGCTGACATTTCTGATGACAAGGCTGATGATCAGTCATCCTCTGTTTCTTTTGAGGAAGCAATGAAAGCATTGGAATCTAGAGATCAGGGAAGTGAAATTCCAATCAATTTACCTGGAGGAGTTCTTCTGGACCAATTATATGTGATTGCACCAACAGAGCTAAACTTTCTACTTTTTTCACCTGATTCAAGTTTTCCTAGGTCATTAGCAGAGGTGCAGGGATCTACAGATCCACAATTTGGGCCTTGGAAATTTGAGAATGGTGGTGAGTGCTTGAAAAGAGTTTATTCTTACATCAGGGCTCCAACCAAATTAATTAAGGCTGTGAAAGCCACTGAGGAGCAAACATATATAAAAGCTGATGGGAAGGATTTTGCTGTTCTAGCCGGTGTGAGCACTCCTGATGTCATGTATGGGAGCACCTTCAGAACTGAAGTGCTGTACTGCATTACTCCTGGGCCTGAGCTGCCATCTGGAGAACAGTCTTCACATTTGTTGATTTCATGGCGTATGAACTTCTTGCAGAGCACCATGATGAAAGGCATGATAGAAAATGGAGCCCGACAAGGTCTAAAGGAAAGCTTTGATCAGTTTGCTACTTTACTAGCTCAGACTATTAAGCCAGTTGATTCAAAGGACATTGGCTTAAACAAAGAACATCTTTTGGGATCATTGCAGGCTGAACCCCAGTCAGATTGGAAGTTGGCCGTCCAGTATTTCGCTAGTTTTACTCTGGCTTCCACTGTTTTTATGAGCATCTATGTGATGGTCCATATCTGGCTAGCTGCACCTAGTACAATTCAAGGACTAGAGTTTGTTGGGCTTGACTTGCCCGATTCAATTGGTGAATTCATTGTGTGTGGTGTCCTGGTTCTTCAAGGTGAAAGGGTACTCCAGTTATTTTCACGCTTCATGCAGGCCAGAGCGCAAAAGGGTAATATTCACATCTAATAACTACTCTTCTGAGATGGTGAAAAAAGGTGCCGCATCATGTTTCTTTTGTTTCAGGCCTTTGATTTCCTTTTGCTTTTTTCTCTCCAACAAATAGGGAGTGATCATGGAGTGAAAGCTCAAGGGAATGGATGGTTACTAACGGTTGCATTGCTTGAGGGAAGTAATTTAGCTGCTGTAGATTCAAGTGGGTTCTGTGATCCATATGTGGTGTTCACTTGCAATGGAAAAACTAGAACCAGCTCAATCAAGTTCCAGAAATCTGGCCCTCAGTGGAATGGTGAATTTAACATTGTTCTTTGTCTGTGTTTGAGTTCAGTGTGCGTGTTTTCACTGGCATACTCTTCAATAATGAGTCTTATGCAGAATCTTACAGTTTATTTGGATCGAACCCCTTGAAAGTTTGTTCAAGAATTATTTAAATCTTAATTTAATCAATTGTTTAAATAAACTCTATTGGTCTTTGCAGAAATATTTGAATTTGATGCAATGGATGAACCTCCTTCTGTACTGGATGTAGAAGTTTATGATTTTGATGGACCTTTTGATGAAGCTACATCTCTGGGACATGCTGAGATTAATTTTGTAAAATCTAATATATCAGATCTAGCTGATGTGTGGGTTCCTCTACAAGGAAAGTTGGCACAGGCATGTCAGTCTAAGCTGCACTTGAGAATTTTTTTGGACAATACAAGAGGTGGAAATGTGGTCAAAGAGTACTTAAGTAAGATGGAGAAAGAAGTGGGGAAGAAGGTAAATAGATAGCTATGCTTCTTTTTAGTTTCACATTGGCCACAGAATAAACTATTATTGTCCATTCTTGTTATGTGTTTACAATCAAATTATATATTTGCAGATAAATGTGAGGTCTCCTCAAACGAATTCAGCCTTTCAGAAACTCTTTGGGCTTCCACCAGAGGAATTTCTCATCAATGACTTTACCTGTCACTTGAAACGGAAAATGCCTCTGCAGGTTCTGTTTATCAGGTTGCATAATCTTTTGTAATTAGTATACTGCATTCTTCCGTTTTTGTTAATCTGCAGTTGCATCTTTGCAGGGTCGCCTGTTTCTGTCAGCAAGAATAATTGGGTTTCATGCCAATTTATTTGGCCACAAGACAAAATTCTTCTTCCTTTGGGAAGATATTGAGGATATTCAAGTTTTAACTCCTACTCTGGCGTCAATGGGCAGTCCAATTATTGTTATGACTCTCCGTCTAGGAAGAGGGATGGACACTAGACATGGTGCAAAGACACAAGATGAGGAAGGCAGGCTGAAGTTCCATTTCCATTCTTTTGTATCTTTCAATGTAGCTCATCGGTAAAGGACAACCTATCTTCTGTGACTTCTTGTTTTCATTTTATTTATGTCTTTACTGCTTCTTTGCATATGTTTATTAATTTTGTTTAATGTTGAAAGGATGTTTAACCCAAGCTTTTTTCACAATTTCTAGAAATGAATTCTAACATTATAACTTCCATTGTGTTGTTACATATGGAATTTATAAGCGTGATATGAGAATATTTCTTCCTGGAATGTTCTTGACAAGTGGCAAATTGACTTGCTTTTGTAATATATTGGACAACTTCTGTGGTTGGAGTCCTTTTTTTCTTGCACCCATAACCTGACATACTATCCTTTTCTAGTCATCAATAAGAATTTCTTCACTTTATTAGTCCAGCTTTAGTTGTTTTTTGAGAAACAAATAAGAATCATGATTTTTACAATTAGACTTATCATGCCTCTTTTTCCTTTTGGATGTAGATCAACTGTTGTTCTTAGGCAATCAAATGATGAAACTAGTCCGAAGTATTAAGAATCTGTGATGATAAGAATGAGAGTAGGGAAATACTTATTTTATAAGTTTCTAAAAGTAAAAATCTGAAAAGGGGAAAGGATGGTAAAATGTCATATCTTGACTTTCAATTTTTTTTTTGACTAGAACAATTATGGCTCTGTGGAAAGCTAGATCCTTGAGCCCAGAGCAGAAAGTGCAAATAGTTGAAGAAGAGTCTGAAGCCAAAAGCCTCCAAACTGAAGAGAGTGGATCCTTCTTAGGCCTTGAGGATGTCAGTATGTCTGAGGTTTATTCATCTGCTCTTCCTGTTCCAGTAAGTTCTCTCCCTCTCTGAATCTATGGAACTTGTTTTGCTGCAATATGCATCCTGTTAAGAACATTTTTACTGTCCATGTTGTGTCTAAGGTACTGCAAATCTTTTCGTATGTATTTTGTCTGTATCTGATGATGGTATCTGCTTTATTGGTGACTCAGACTAGTTTCTTCATGGAGTTATTCAATGGCGGTGAATTGGACCGTAAAGCTATGGAGAGAGCCGGCTGTCTTAACTATTCTTGTAGTCCATGGGAGTCAGAAAGGGCTGATGTATATGAGAGGCAAATATATTACAGGTTTGATAAGCGTGTATCCCGCTATAGAGGAGAGGTGACAAGTACTCAGCAGAAATCCCCACTTTCCGATAAAAATGGTTGGCTTATTGAAGAAGTTATGACTCTCCATGGTGTTCCACTTGGGGACTATTTCAATGTATGAATACCACCAAGAACTTTTCATAATTTTATCTTTGAGAGTGATGCTTGAGCTTGTTTTGGGATTTGATTTAGATATTATTCTACTTCTTCCTCATAATTGACCACTGAGTTTTAATGTTTTGCAGCTTCACCTAAGATACCAAATTGAGGATTTACCCTCAAGATCAAAGGGATGTCAGGTGCGAGTGTTTTTTGGAATTGCATGGTTGAAAAGCACTAAGCATCAGAAAAGGATTGCCAAAAACATCCTCTTAAATCTGGAAGATCGCTTGAAGGTGACATTAGGCATCGTTGAGAAGGAATATATTTCACGATAGTGCATGACCGGCATTGCTGATATTGTAGAGCTGATTGGCAGATAATCTTCAATATT